TCTCCTCGATAATCGGTTTAGAAAGTACTAATTCTAGTATACTACTTTTAATTTTAAACGATAATAGGAGACAATGGACTGCCTTGAATAGTGAGTTAAACATACTTTGTTTCCGTGTCGAAATATTTAAATATTTACATACGAAGCTTCGATTTAAAACGAAAACTATAGACAAAATGTGTTAATTGTTTGTTCATTACTATTCACTACGAATTGCTAAATGGGTTATTTACATCTATTTGATTTTTTTTGTATGTTTTAATAATATAGTAGTGTTAGAAAATAACGTCTTTTCGTTGATAATATAAAGAAAATAAATGTGTATAGTTAATTGTGTGGGTGGTAGTGTGACAGGAGGTGACTCTGATTGAAGCTTTGACGGCATTAGCCGCCGTTGATGATGTGTCCCGTGACGGTGACAGAGCTAACGTCAAAGGACAATTTGGACCCACACCAAAAACCACAATTAGACCGTAACGAAACTAATCCTCTCAACTAAACAAGTAAATACGACTAACCAAAGCTAATATGGAACCAAACAACGAACTAAATATTGAAATATCTTTTTTCTGTTTGAAGTATTCGGAGTTGAAAGGGTATTTAACATGTTCCCAAATCTTGAATAATTGATATTCTATATTAAATTAAATAAGATTGTTAGATCTACTGAAAATTGAGAGAGATATCGTCGTGGGATCATGCGTCGTGGAAATTTGTTATAGAGGACCACATGATCTGAATACTAATTTTTTTTTTATAAATGTTTGTAATAATGAAAAAGAGTAGAAATGGGGAAAATTAGAGAGATAATGATTAGTGAGGGTGGTGTGTGGGTTGGACGGACCTACGAGGGTTTTACTACATGACACCGAGCCTGAACTACCTGTGATTGTGCTGCTCTGTTCTATACTTACACATTTTGGACCATTTCCTCTTTTTTGTTTGTTTGTCTCTTACACATTACACATTAGTATAGCTTAATTAACTTCTATAATTTATATATAATCCGATCCCATTTATTCCTCTTTATTTGAATTCATGCAAATCCAATCAGGGAGTATTAAGGAATTTGTTTATTTATTCAAAGAAGAAATGTTGCCTCGTCTTTTTGTTCTTCAAAGTTTGGAGACCAAATTAGCTCAGCTTTTGGAACGAACCGTCTATGCGTAAATGTTGTCTCGTTTAGTTTTGAATGGTTAATAAGTAAATAAACTGTTGCAGTTTACAACAATGAATATAATATGCATATGCATGTATCTAAGATCAACATAATAGTTCTTTTATACGAAAATTTCAAAATTTCATCAGATGTGTCGGCTATGACTACGTACTTGTTTAGAAAATTACGTTTAAAGACAAAAAAAGACTACGTATGGTTCAAAATTTTGTGTATCGTTTCCCGAGATTTTTGGTTCATAGAGAGGGTATTTAGGAGAATTAAAAATATGGTCACAAAGCTACAAAATTCAAATTTTAAACTAAAGAGTTCTTATTCTGTATATAGTAATGCTAACTACTGATAAAGGAGAAAAAAGATAAAGAACATTAATGGGGCTATCTTTAAGCTAAAGCAATTTTGGAGCTTAAGCAATTTCAAATTCATGTTATTAGCAACATATATCTATGTCAATGTCCTTGATATACAGATAATTCAATAACGCCAAATAATAGCTATATTTTTTTTAATTTGTTGGTATGGTACTGTCCTCTCATTCGTATGTTATTTTAAAGTAGTACACTACAGTTTTAACCATATTTATTTATTAATTTACATAATATGAATCAGTTTGTGATGTAAAAAAAAATCAGTTTTCATTTTGTATATATTCTAGATAATTCCCTACAAGTAAAACAAGTTTAAGAAGAAACAAAAAAAAATCAACTTTTTCCTGGATTAATTTATGACCCTAATCCTGTCATAGCTATATTTAACTTTTTAATGTTAATATATACTACAACTTTTTATTCACAAAATTTCGAATTTCCCACTAGAGTACAATAAAATTTTGGAAAATTGGGACTCTAAAAGTATATAATATTATTTCGGGCAATAGGCGAATGTCTTTTTAAAACCATGAAATACAGGATTTTGATTAGGCTTGGACACGGAGCGGATATCCGGTATCCGTGATCCGGTCCGTAAATAACGGATAGTTATTTTTCCGATCCGATCCGATCCGCTACATTTTAGATATCCAACTTTTTTAAAAATATCCGCGAATATCCGATCCGTTATATATCAAATATCTGAATTTTTAAAAAATATCCGCGGATATTCGATC